CCCGCCCTTGCCCCCTTTCAGGGGGCCTGGCCAACCCAGACCTGTTCTTTCGTCTGCAGGAGTTAGGATTGCGCGGACTGGAAGCCACTCTGATCCCTGTTTTGTCATTTGAGTTTCTGTCTCTTCCCACTTTCTGGGAGAAGGTAAGGTCTGCCATGTCTGAGCACCGTGATGGCTGCGTGCGACGCGTTTGGTTTCTGTAGAGTCCGTGCCGGCCCCAGCCCAGGGCTTTCTTCCTTCCCTCATTTTACTGTCCAACTTCTAAGCTGGCGGCACCCCACTAGCTCCGGATCCCATCCGCTGTGGGTCACCTGAGCCTCCACCAGTTCCCCACCCTGACCTGGAGGCGGCCGGGAGAGCAGGTGGGGAGGGCGCTGCTCGCAGTTCAGACCTGCCCTCTAACCCCACCCCTGACCTCTGCAAGGCGGCGTGTAGGTGTCCCTTTCCCTGCCAGTGATGGAGGCCCAGGCCTCTGGCACACGAGAGGCAGTGCTGAGGCTCAAGACCAGGACATGTCCCCGCAGCCTCGGCTCTGCCACCCGGGGCAGGAGGGACCCACACTGCCCAGTCCAGTGAAGCCAGAGGTTTCAGGTTAAAGGCGCAGTGCCCCGCAGCCCGCCGGGCTCCACACCCCTCAGCACCAGGCCCACCCTCCTGTTCTTCGCACCACAACGCCGCCCCTCACTCTCAGAAAAGCCTTCCTGGTTCCTCGTTCGAATATCCGGTGTTCATTGAACTCAGCAGATACCGAGTGGCACCTGCCACAGTCCGTGCCCTGGCTTGCGGGCGAGGCCCCCGTTGGCTTGCTTTTCCACAACCAGCTTTAAAAGGGAACAAGAGACTTCACCATTGAGATCATTTCTAGGACCTCAGCTCAGAAAAGTCCTCCAGTTTCTTCAGCAGCCTCTCCTTCACCACCAGCCCATCTGCCGTGAGGGAGGGGTTTTTGGCTATGCAGGGAGCACGCCAGGTCTCAGCCTCTCCCGCAGCCTCTCCTGCCTCTGAGTTTAACCCGAGGGGTGAGAACAGCCCCATCTCCCAGGCACTTTCACAGACTCCGTGGAGGGGTGTACACAGCAGCCCGGAGCCTGCTCCGAGGAAAGGGGCAGTAGGTTGTATCACCGTTGTCTTTGAAAGTCAGGGCTTCAGCCTGGACACCACCCCAGTACATAGTCCAGTTTTATTACAGATACAGGTCAGGTCTGCCTCCGGCCTGCACCCCCTGCCCAGGCGGAGTCCCGTGCCCCTCTCTGGTCATCACACCCACACCCTACGCTGCACCTGCTGTCTCTCCCCTCGACTCTGGGCCACTTGAGGGAGATGCTACGATAATGAATTCGCCTAGAATAGGGCCAGGCACACACTCAGCTCTCAGTAAGTGCTGAGTGGGTGGGTGGGTGGACGGATGGATGGATGGACGGACAGAACGGATTAGTTTGCCCACCACTCTGTGAGCATTTGGAATTCTGGGTAATGTGGACCTCATCACAAAGTGCCTTTGGGTTTGGTGTGCAGCTGTCGCGTCCGGAAGGCTACGGAGGGCTCATTTTCACCAGCCCCAGGGCAGTGGAAGCGGTGGAGCTGAGCCTGGAGCAGGACGGGAAAAGCGAAGGTGAGGGCAGGATTCCTCCCGTTGGCGATACTAGATTCCAGAAATCAGGTTTGAACACTGCAGTGACTCTTAGCTCTAAGGTATTTAGGTACCGAGTTATTTCATGTTTGTGTAGCCTTTGGAGGGAGCAGAAAATGGCCTTCTTAAGCGATTCTTGCTGTCCCACACAGGACCCATCAACCCTTAGCCTTCAGACCGAGCCGCCACCTTGGTCTGTCCGATGGAACACCTTCGCGCTAACGTTTATGGAGTGCCTACTGTATACCAGGCTCCATCACTTTGCAGTCATCTCCTCCTCTAACCCAGGGGCACACACCCTGTGGTCCTTGTTTCACAGATGAGAAGACTGAGGCTTGGCAAGAGTGGGCACTAGTCCAAGGCCATGGAGCCCGTCAGCCAGGCCTGGCCGTTACAGTGATGAGTGGAGGCAGCAGGGTGGTGCTTACCCAAAGGGCTTGCAGTGAGCTGGGCCTGGGTTCAGGGGGTGTTCCGACCTTGGCGAGTCCCTGACCTCACTGAGCCTGTTTCCTTGTTGTAAAGTGGCCCAAGGATACCTGCCTCATCGGCTCATCCCTTGCACTGGAGCGAGCTAGGACCTGGGTGGGGGACCCTGCAGATATGAACAGCATAAGGGGGGGTAGTGTGGGGTGCTGCTCTTTAGGTTCGTGTATTACTAGGTTGCCTTGCTCCCACGGTTTAGGATGAACCTGAAAGGATAAACCTGGGGCAGCAGCCCTCATGGCCTCTGGTCTTTGCAACACACGTGTCATTTCATGTTTTCCAGTCTGGAAAAAGTCTCTGAGAGAAGCATGGAGCGCTAAGCCGGTGTATGTGGTTGGAAATGCCACGGCTTCTCTAGGTAAGCAATCGGGGCAAAAAACACCAAAACCATGGCCGTGATGTTGTGATTCCTAATACAGGGTGTCCCCCAAAATGTATACACACCTTACAGCTGAAATGTATTTAATAAACTCCGCCTCTGTGACTATTCACAGGGGGCATGCACATGTGTCGGGACACCCTGTACATTTAGTCTTCGTCCCAGCTCCTGCACGGAGCTCCCAGAACTGATGTTTCCAGGTGCTGAACAGAGAGGTGTCTGGTTATTCATAACAAACCTCCGGCACCTCCACCGAGTTCACTTGAATGCGCTGACTTCTGGAAGGCCCTCAAGCTGGGCAGGTTGTTGCCCGGGGAACCAGCCCGGGGTTAGAGCAGGAACTTTCGGCTCCTGGGCCTCCGCACCAGCTCCGGGGAGAAGCGCGGGGCTGGGGTTGAACCGACCCCCGTGCAGTAGGCTCAGGTGGCTCCCACGGGGCGGGTGCGCGGGGAGAAGCACACAAACGCCCTGTGGGTGCCAGCGGGGGGCCCAGCTGTGCTGTGCGGACCTGCGTCCCCATTGAAGTTCGCAAGGTTCTGGGTGCACTGAGCCCGTCCCGACCCAACCGGAGGCCGGCACCGCAGCACAGGCAGGGCCTGGTTCCTGGACGGAGTCACAGCGGCCTGTGACTTTTCTCCTGGGCTCAGCGCTGGTCATGATGTAAATGAAAGGCTGGCGTGTTGACGTTAGAGCGGCAGCTTGGTATTCGCCAGACTCGTGTGAGCACCTCCTTTCTCAGAGACGGTCCACATTCCTCGCTGACCCCGCCGCCTGGGCCCAGCCTTCCTCACCATCCTCAACGGGGTGACCAGTGCTCTGCCCGGGATGGGCTGTAGCAACAGGAGGCTCACGAAAGTGGGGGACACAGCCCTCCCCCTAAATCACCTGCAGGTTTGGCAGCTGGTCAGCACCTCCCTCCCTCCCGCCCACCTCATTCCCGCCACGTCAGCCCACACCTTCCTGGAGGGGCTGGCTTTGCTGCCTTCCAAGATGAGGCCTTCTCCACTGTCCCAAATCTTAAATCAGTGATG